TATTAATCCAAGTTTCAGAAATAGCAATTATATTAAAAGAATGTGTCAGACTCCTAAGATACTGTTTTATACTCTGAAAGTTTGCGTATAAACTTCTGCTATTAAAGTGAATTAGTGATAATTTGTTTTCAGTCTTGACATTGCTGTTAAACTGCTCATCCGTGTAATACTTGCAGTTATTTTCAGAGTTCTTGAAAAAGTTTTTTTCAGGGTCAAAGCCATCGTCCGGTTCATGATAATGAATTTCAGTGTCTCCATATGTGTTCAGTTCAAGATCCAGTCCCTCAAAAACTATTAACTTCTGTAACAAATCACTTGCCTCATATCGTCCATTGTTAACACTGATGACATTTAAACTATCAAGTTACTGAAGAAGGCTGATAGTAACCAGTCTACTTGTGTGCATGGAAACATGGCACATGAGATGTCAGAGCAGAAGGTAAAATCAGAATGTGGTTGTATGTATCCACAGAACACTTACAGGAGAGTGACCATAAGACCTGCTTTCCCATTGGTTGGATGTGAAATTGTATTTGATCAAGTCACCAAGAGCTCTGTTCAAATCAAATCCTATGGGGAAAAGAAGTAAGACTTAAACATACAGCATTGTCATTAATTATCAAAAGCACCATCTGCTACTACAGAACAGACAAGATCAAATAAGGGACTGCCGCTAAAACAAAGACAGCAATATTAAGGTTGCTTAAAATCTAACCTTAATATATAGTGCTACACTTTAGAAATTAAAAAAAATCTTCTGGAGAATGAAGAACCATTAACTTACAACAAATGTGTTTAAAATGGGGCAGAAAGTTGGTTTATTCATTAAATAGTCAAAAAAGGATATTAGTTGAAATTAGCATTTCATCTCTCACCCCCAAACAAGTACATGGCTCCAGTGGAGGACAGGTACACGCCAGCAGAACCCGTCCTGGGAGGGGTGTAGGGGTTTCCGTCACTCACACGCCACCACTGCCCCGCCCCGCTGTCATCATGGAGACCGAGCTGGCAGCTGTGACCCACGAAGCTGGCGTTATCCATGAAGCTGGTGTTACACACGCAGCGTTCTCCTTTCTGAGACAAAACATGGGGATAAGAACAAATTAGCACCAATAATCAATGTTTTTGTGAACTGCACAACTGGCATAATCAAGGCTTATTCAGGGAAGGATTAGTGACCCTCTTTTCGTTGAGGAAATCACCCCCTTCCCTACTCTACCTTGTCACACTGGCCATTCACAGAACAAGACTGGGAGCACAAAGGAGTTGTACAAGCTGCTCCTCCCCAACCTTGATGGCAATGGCACTTTGATGTAGAGGAATCACAGCGGCCATGACCACCACAAGCTCCAGGGCACAGAGAGAAAGTGTAGGTTGCGTTGAAGCCCTGGAGATTGTAATTAGCATCACTGAAGAGATGAAGCAGCATCTGGAACAAGAACATGAAAAAATGTATTCAAAGTTAGCATTTGCCATAAGTACAATGCTTCGTTGTTTTATTCATTCATGTTGTAATTGCTTACTTTGCCAGACTTGGCTTCAATAGGTTGAGGCAGAGTGTTGCCACTCAGACTGGCTAGGAGTGGGCTCTGATAGGAGTCTCCATCATAAACAAACAGGTAATCATAGGTACACTCTGTGTCCATGGAGGTGAAATTCAAGACAATGCGGTGACTGTTGCTGGGAGCTGGAAAATATAAAACGTGATAAGTATCTGTGAATTTAGTCTCAAACTAGAATTAATTTGTTAGAAAACTGTACATTACAAGTTACTTTTTAATTAACAGTTTATCTCCTCTCAAGACAAAAGCTCAGCTAGGGCATACCTTTGATAAGCCATTCGCAGTTCCCATTGACAGAGTAGTTTCCTGGTCCGTCTGTGACATAGCCTGGTGGTCCCCTCAGCACCTGCCTTTGGCCCTTGCAGTCCCCTGGCTGGCACATAGGTGTCTGAGCCAACAACAGGACCACAAGGATGATGGAGACAGGGAGGGGGGAGGCCATGACTGGCACCGCCTGGATGATGGGATGTAAAAGGTGAATGAAAATCATTAAGGCTAGGGTACTATTATACTTACTGTACTTCAACCACAAATATGAGGACCAACTTCCTACATTTCAGCTGGATCCACCACATGATCTACCACACAAGACAAAGAAACGATGCCAGCATGATATAGAGACTTGTTTCTAATGGAAATCCAGCAGTCACGTAGCCTGGTAGTCCTATAAACAACTTAGTGTGGCCCTTTAACATGTTTTTTTTTTTTTTTTTTATGCTAGACAGCTGTGTCGTTTAAGTCTGCCCATGTACAATGCAATGCCATTCACACCACACAAGTAAGCCGACTTAAAGGTGCTTGGTGCTGATTACGACTGATTACGATACTCAAAGGCAGCATCAACAAAAACATACCGATTCTAATGAGCTAACGACAGTAAGCCCTACGTACTGTAGAAATAACCGGCTCTGCACAAATCTCACAAACAGCAATGTTGACGTTAAATAAAGGTTTTCACACACGTATCAGCGTGTATACAAATAATGCTACACACCAACACAACATGTACTAACTGCACTTATTGCAAGCCACAGGTTAATCCAGCTACTATAATTGTAGTATTAGAAAACAACGGACTCTCCCGCAGGCTATCATAACAAAGCTAACATAACGGGGTGCTAAGCTAAGATAGCTAACCGAATACCGTAAAGAGCCTGCAGGTTAGTTTGTGGTCTTGCCTTATCATACTCACCAGTTCCTGTCTCTTTGGTCCCATGGCAATTTACATGTTCGGTGAACTTTTTAATGCCAGCTTCCAGATGAGCCAAAGTATCGTTAGCGAGCGCTCAACATTGAGAGCTAGCTGGCTATTAACGCTAATCCCGATTCGCTGCAGAGAGCAGCCGCTCCTGGCGCTGCAGCGCAGTCCTCTGCTAGCTTGTTCGCTAGCTAGCGGTAGCGACTGATCCAAATCCAGATGCGTAATCGACAGTGGATGCAAAATTTACCAGGTTAGTTAAGTCATTCTTGGGAGTAATTCATGAAGATAGAAAATACACATCTAAAACTTTGACATTATATCAGGTACGAAATGCTGGCCACTAACACGGACGGGATTCCAGCGGTACATCATAGGGACCGATGCCCATTGTGTTGGTGTTTACGGCTGGCTAATAACACAGCGGTGGGTACCAACACAAAAGACGACGCCCGTGTGAGCAAGTCCACCGCTGCTGTCCAGCGGAGATGGGGAAAAAACGTGTGAACATCTGGATACAGTATACGTCATACACATAATAATAATGTAGTAAACATTAGTGCATAAGGCCAAAAATTACGACTGGATTAAATGGTTAAAATAAATCTAAGTAAGATTCACTCAAAATACTTGTGGTAACCTTCACATTGTTAGACCAGTTACTTGCAAAGATGGGAAATTTTTCCAGTTATTCCCCCCTAATCTTTAATCAGACCTGCTCCAAAGTGCAACCTTTCCTTTAATTTTAATTAGTTTGAAATGGTTTGTGTGGTTCTAATTAAACAAAACACATTTGATTTAAACATTGTATTGAGTTTTCAAATGAATACAGAATATTTAGTTTTTCTGCATAAGTAGATTCAGAGCAGAAGTAGTAGTAGAAAATATACAGTGGGTACGGAAAGTATTCAGACCCCCTTAAATTTTTCACTCTTTGGAGAAGATCAACTCCACCCTGTTTGCATTTCATATCTTTTAAGCCTAATTTAAAACTATGATTTTTGAACAAATATATAATAAAAGAATTATGCAGTCAAACTTTATTTTGTTTAAAACATATAACATTATTCCGGATATGTTGTATTTATGCTAATTACTCTTCAGGAAACTGGAAAAGACATACATAACAATAAAGCTAAACTGCTTCTGACAAAAACGTGCATTAGTCATTCAGGGCCCCCGGACAGTGAAGTGAACATCACATTTGAAATATATTTTACATATGAAAGAAGAACTTTTTAAGGTTTAATTCCTGAAGAACCTTTTAACGTTTATTTTCTGAAGAACTTTGCAACTTTGTGCCAGTCAGAAACGTTTAATTTTTGAAAAACTTTGCAACTTTGTGCCAGTCAGAAAAATCTCAGTTCCTTGTTTATCTGGAGAAAGTAATGGTAATGTATCTCATATTACGTTGCTAAGTACCTAGTTTCCTTGTGACTGCAAATGGGGGAGAGAAACGGATACACACGTCCAAACAATGTGTAAATTCATCGTTTGTAAAAAAATGCCTTGAGACACTAAAATATGAATTGTAATTTAAATCATAAATCATCATATTGTCATAGTAATTCATACTACTGTCATGGCACTGTAGTTAACTGTAACTTCATCACTTGCATCTGTTTTATAAAGTACTGCAGATTTTTGCTGAATGGCACAGTAATGTAAAGTCACACTATCAAACAACAAACCACATTAACACTCTGTGTGGTCTCTACTGTGAGCTCAGTGTGTTAGAAAAAAGTTAAATGTGAGAACAAAGAAAAAAAATCAAATTATAAAAAAAGCAAAAACATTTCTGTTAATTAATAAGGTAACAATCACATAAGTATAGAGATATACGCATCATCAAAGAAATAAGGTACAAATGAATAACTTACATTATCCTCTGGCATTTTATTCTCCTCAGTGAGCAGGTGTATGCAGTAAAACGGGTCTATCTGGTGATCCAGCACTGTCAGGGCACCTCAGTGTCTATAATGCACAATGCACCACATAGGAAGTTCGAAAGCCATAAAAAGAAATCCCCTCACATCACGCATGAGCGTGAAAAATGCAACCATAATGTTTTGATGTTGCTAGGGGAAATTAAAGTTACAAAGAGTTAATCAAATTGAAACCTCACTTTTATATTTCTAGTTTACGTTTTAACTTTTTATTTATTTAAACAGACAGTTTAATAATGAAGTTTTATGTTGACTTTTTTTTCCTTTAGCTTCATTCACTGAAATAATCCAGACATCTGAAACCAGGCTTACTAAATAGCCAAACGGGCATTGTTTCTAAATTTCCTGAAATGATTTTAAATGTTTGAAAAAAGTTATTTTTTCGGAAATTCTTTTTCTTTTTGTCTGAGCTTGAGTCATGTGTGGGGTCATGGAGGGAAGGTGAGAGAGAGAGATGAGTCAGCAGCACACAATCTTGGTTTCTTACGTAATGTGTGTGTGTGTGTGTGTGTGTGATGTGTCTGTAGTTTTTGTGGTGTATAAGTGGTTTTATACATGACAGGTCAAAGTTGACCTCTAAGACAATCTTTGTACCCTTGGTGTGTAAAACCTTCATGAAAATATAAAAATAAAAAATGGCTCATTTAATCTAATGTTGGGGTCATTTTAGGAAAAGTTGGGTTTTTTTTCTGCTGTTAAAATGGTCACGGAGACAAGTGGAGAATGGTGGATGAGACTGACATGCTTGCCTACATAGGGTTGTTAATCCTAGCAGGTGTGTATAGGTCCTGAGGTGAGGCTACATCTAGTCTTTGCTGACCGTTTCCAGGATGATTTTTTTTTTGATGGCTTGTGTAATGAACATGAAAAATGTTGAGACGATGTCCTGGGCATGGGAAACAGCCCTGGGGTCATCTTCATGACATTATTTGCTGCAACTTGCTGGGCACTGAAATGAGCCTTCATGACTTTTGCAACAAGACAACTAGGGTACTGCAATCTATAGCACCTATATACAAGTATTCCCTATTAGTAGATAATCCTTTCAAGGCATGGTTATTTTTTCTGAAATTCTTTTTTATTTTGTCTGAGCTTGAGTCATGTGTGAGCTCATGGAGGGAAGGTGAGAGAGAGACCAGTCAGCAGCACACAATCTTGGTTTCTTAATGTGTGTGTGTGTGTCTGTGATGTGTCTGTAGTTTTTGTGGTGTATAAGTGGTTTTATACATGACAGGTCAAAGTTGACCTCTAAGACAATCTTTGTACCCTTGGTGTGTAAAACCTTCATGAAAATATAAAAATAAAAAATGGCTCATTTAATCTAATGTTGGGGTCATTTTAGGAAAAGTTGGTTTTTTTTTCTGCTGTTAACACGGACCATTTTTGATCCTTGAGACAACACAAGGATTAAATAACTAAGCTGCTCCACACCACCCTTTTGTCCTATGTTAATAAAGGGACTTTATACCAGGGTATGAATATACTAAAAACAGGAGATGTCATGGTGACTAAATAGGTTGCTACAATTTCCAGAGAAACTGGCGAATAACGTTTCTTAACACAGACTAAAAACACTTGTCAGTTTCATTTAGTCTGAATGTTGTGTTTCAGAATTAGTTGGTGTTTACAAGAAATACCCCAGACGTAGTGCTGACTTTGTAGAAAATGCTGTATTCAGATTGTCACAAGAGTATATGTTTGTTTCCATTTGAGAGACAGATAAGATAAGATAAGATAAGATAAGATAAGATAAGATCAATATAAACAATGTAGTGACATCTGCATTTAATCTGGCTACTCAACACCACTGTAATGACTCAAGTGAAAGCAGATTTTTATGTAGCCCAGTATCACAAATCACAAATTTGTCTGAAAGGATTTTACAATCTTTGCAACAGAGGACACCCGCTGTCTTTAGAAACCTGAACCTGAAACCAAAAAGTAACCGCCAGAAAACCCTTTAACTTGGGGGGTGGTGGAACAAATTTTAGATAGAGCAAATGAGGGGAGCTCCCCAGCACAGACAGACACACAAAAGATCTTGTTTGTATGGAATGGAGCAACATAGTTGATGAACAGAATGGAAAATCAGAATTAGACAATTATCGATTCTAAACATATAATTGAAGACTAGGATGTGGAAGGATGTTGAGCAACTTCCAGGCACCACCAAAATGAACCTGAGCCACACAACCTCCTCTCCACCATGAAGATCTGGAAAGAGGACAGACTACAGCACACAAGAGGCAAAATCCAAGCACACAATTGTCACTGAAGGAAACAAGTCACAGAAAACGAGAGAGAGAGAGAGAGACAAGATAAACACAGGGGAGAGAAAGACAGAGAAGAGGATGGGAATCCTGAGATCCAGAGGAGAGAGAGAAGTCTGGGGATATTGCCAGCACAGACAGCCTGCCTGAAAGGAGAGGGGAGGAGGAGAAAGAGACATATAGGCCCACAGCCTGTATACTGACATGGGTAAGGGGACAAATAGGGCTGGAGCGATGGTTCAGAATGTTTACAGTAATCTCACTGGCAGGGCAACATGGACTGTGCTACACAATAGGGCATATAGATCATTGAGACGTAGACCAACCTGCCAGAAGGAGATTGGTAACAGGTGCTAGAGCTGAAGTAATCGAAGAATAAGCTGCTTGAATCACACTGTCTGATATCAATGGGGAGGCTATTGCAGAGGAAACAAACACAACAGAACAAAGTCTTGCATTCAGCTAGACTTCTGAGTGTGAAGAGCATGGGATGGTATATAAGGTATAAGATCAGACAAATATGAAGGAGCATGCCCATATAGGACTTTGTATATCATTATAAGCATTTATAAGTCTAATCTCACATGTTTATGTTGGGTTGAGCCAAAGACCTGCAACATTTTAGCTTGCACCTTTTTAATCTTAGTTTTAAGGAGTTGCCCTTTTAACTTTCTGTATGAGTCATATTAGAGATGAACCATCATTATGCAGGCTGACCGCATGGATTGCATGAATAATCTCACCATTTTAGTTTCAATTTCTCTTGTATGGTGTTAAATACAAATTGTTCATCCATGTGTGTGCTCACGCCACAATGCCACAGTGACAAATAATAAAAGAGACGGAGCATGAACATATGAAAGTCTCATGACAGTAGTAACACTGACATGCAAACTAATACATTTAAAGAAGACATTAGCTTAGTGGAAGTACAACTGAGCAATTAAGAAATGAAAGATCATTTGTGATGCACCTGAAACCAAGGCAAAAAAAAATAGCTAATGCACATGAAACCAAATCTTATAGTGATAATTTCACAGAATTTATAGAAAGAAACCACTATGCAAGGATGATTGTAAATTAATACAAATGAAAGTACTTAAATGCAGCTTGATCTAGATTTGCATTTTGTTAGAATTGGATTCCAGGAGTTGCAGTTGTTTGCTTTACTGTTAGTATTATTTTGCTTTATAATGATAAAGTTTAGTATGACTGTCTGTGTTTTATTAACAGCACCATGTATCAGTATTAACCTGGCTCTCATACATGCAGAATAGTTATAATTTTCAGCTGCAGGTCAACTTGTAGTGTTTCTTATTTTCTTGGATAACTGTGCAAGAGTAGATTGCATAGATAAGTGTCTTGGAAACTAAAGATAAGATATTGTTAATTTATGCTATTTTACAGACGTGAAGTCTGACGGGCTTGAACTTTTCACTCATGTCTGAACTATGAGTAAGGGGTTTATACAACAGAATCAGTGAAGTAAGTGACACAGCTAACTGCATGTCCATTTTCAGTTAGAGAGAAACGCCTGAAAATAGAA